GTTCGTCGCACCTCTGTACACACAGTACGACACGCTTCTCCAAGAGCCGCCTGACATCCGCAGTTCGCCTAAAAAGCAACATGCAAATTTTAAAATCTGTGGAAAAACCGGTGAGTGGATTCTTCAAAAGCATACTTTTACTGCAATACTGTAATCTACATATTTATACTCACCTTGTCCACCTTGACATCTTTCTGGTCACAACACATTGCGTGAGGCGAAAAACACTGACCAAATTTACGACAGCACAACTGCAAATTGTGAACGTATCATAAAAACTGTCTGGATAACAGACATATGTATAGTATACTGACAGTGACAAATATTTGCCCCTTCAGTAATTTCGTGCAGAACGTCATTGTTTCAACATCTCAGCTGCAGCTGACAATTTCGCAGAGGCGTCATACCGAGTGAGCAAGGTGTGTGGGAAAGCATTCGGGCGCTATCGCAACATACGGGGACGCTGTGGTGGCAATGCATTAGAAATCGCAACATCTCCTTATTGTAAAAACGGGACTAAGCCTCAGACGCAAGATGAGAGACTCCAGAAAGCATGAGAGACTTTCATTTTTACCGAAGTACCTGCCCTCTCCTAGACTTAGTCTTGAAGGATGCCCTCGTATGGATAACGCCAGCATTCCCTCTATGATTAGGAAGAATGGAATCAAAGCGTAGTGGAGCTTCAACTTGTGACCGGTGGGACACGGGTCGGGATCGAGTTGGGATATTTTCGCACCCGAAAGTGAGCACAAAAACCAAAATGAAGAAAAAATGGGAAAAACAGTCGATAAGGCCGAAAATTAAACCCCTTCCCGGAAGCAGTGAAGGGGGCTAGCTTGGAAAAAGGCATGTCGGAACGAGTTTTCTGGACTTGCCAACCATTTCTGGCTTCGAATTGCAGTCGATTCGGAAGTCAGCGCACCAATCCCAGCCGATTTCATGCCTTATGATTAGCCACCCACAACATCCCGCGGTGGGCGGTCATACCCTACGCCAGGTAGTCATTGTCCTAGGTCGGAAGCTTATTAGAGTGCAGCTCGGAGTCGCGAGCGTGGCTTCACCTCTGTGGTTGCAGACCCCGTCACACTATTTATGGAAGAGGTTTCTTTGAGCCTTCATTTTGACCCTTGCCTTGACTCCTAAATAATCACGCTTCCCTTCTTACCTCCTAATGTAACCACGGAGTCTAAGAAGGTGGAGGGGGATAGACAACGAAAAAACTATGCTCAACTGTTTACAAGATCACGAATACATCCCTCTCTTAGTTTATACATAGAGAAAAAATTTGCAAAATACTCACCTGCAGCTCTTCTTCTTCGTCGGGCATCACATCACATAATAGGAATTCTTTCCAAGCAAGAACAGCCGACGCGAACTGTAAGCACTTCTTATTAATATCCAGTTGTGGCCGAAGTATCCGTCAAAACCGCATTACATGCGTTGCTTTGTTTCTTAAACTCTTCAAAAAGAGTGCAATCTTTATGTTAAAGCAGATTTTACGATATATTGGGCTCGTTGGGAATAAGAGTACAGCTTTTTAGGTGTGCAGCAGGGGGAACTGAAAGAGCCAGCCTAAAAATCACAAGACGGTACCCTGAAGCCACGAGTCGGGATTAGGTAGCAAGAGCTAATCCCTCCTTGAGTGAGAAACAGTGGTACGGAAGCATAAGCATCGCGCGACTTGAAAGTGCGCGGCAAGGGCTTTGAGGCCTTGCTTGTGCGCTGCCGCACTGCCATCTTATCAGTCGCAGCATAAGTGGAGTGTTGGCTCACGCGACGTGCTCTCTCGCGTTTTCACTGCCTCGCAGAGCTGTGCCTCTCAGTTATACAACAACCGTCCTCACAAGGGGAATTTCAGTATTTCCCATGATGTTTTGCTTTTTCTCCTTATAACGCTCCCCATCGCACTTCTTGTATAATTCTCGAAGAAATTTACACATCAATTCGATTTCGACCCTTTTCGGTACGGTCACGTCCTTCGCGCTAATGATGAGAGTGTCCGTAAGATCGGTCTAGACTTTAACGTGCCAGGAAAGCGGCCAAGAGGACGCCCGAAGCAACGATGGCTTGATACGTTGCATGAGGATTTGAAATTAGTTGGCCTTCACCCCGATCAGGCACATAATCGGGAAAAGTGGCGTCGTAATACCAGGAAAGCGGACCCCGCCACAGGGTGGGACAAACGCTAAAGAATAAGAAGAAGAATTCGCCACATGCCTACAGGTGACACAAAATGCCGAAAAAATTGTCTCAGTGAATACTGATCGCTACTGTACATAAAGCAGCGGGCGAAAATACACTACTGGTTGAAAGGTGTCTTGCAAAGTCAGATCTTTTGTATCTGAGAAGCTAATCATCAATCAAAAGAGTGAAGCCATTGTGCAGCAACTTCAGGCTGGAGCGGTCATGGTAGCCCTCTTTGAGTTCGACGATGACGACAAATGACGCAGCGTACCCTGCGACTGCGCGCACTTGCGCTAGGGAGAAGAAGAAGGTGCGACATAATGGATGAATATTTGAGGACGGTAGAGGACAGTGGAGAAAGGCTGATTCTTTTTAGAAATTTCCACGATAAGATCGTATGTCGCAGAAGAGAAGCTTCCCATGTGCGGACAGCACACGTGACCTTTCAAGGGTTACGGCTGTGACACGAATACCCAGAAGGATATCGCCCGACAACTTAACATGCTGTACCGCAGAGCATCGGCGTCGCGGGACGCCCGTCGACTGGCTAGCCACTCGGGGCAGATCCCTAGCCATTCAGCGGAGAGAGAGAGAGCGTTAGCGTTGAAGAGAGCAAAACCGATGAGAGTCGCATCAACGTGGAATCAACGGGCAAAGAAGGGTACCATTTCTCAGGTTCCAGAGCGTTTCTCATAATTTTTTCTTCATCCCGGCGCCGCTGACTACATACTTCTTAGTTGATTATAATGGGCTGCATTCCAGTCGTAAACGCCTTCAAGGAGGACCATCCAAGGAAGACTTTGACGTAAAGCTTCCACCAACGGTGGCACCTGTGCGACAAAAAATTTGGTGATTGCGCTATGGACGAACGACTCTTGAATCCCCCACCCCCTCCTCCCCCACATCTCCCACCTGTACGTATATGCGGTTGTTTTTCAGCAGAAAATTACATTGGTACAAATCTCATTAAAATTGATCGACTGACCAATTGGCCTATCCTTGTAAACAGAGAATACTTACATCCGAAACATATTTATCATTTGATTATTTATTATTTGTTGGTCAAGCACTGCAAAGGGCAATATTAAAGCTTGAGAAATTTGGATGTTCGCTACTTTGCCCATTTCTCTATACATATGCACAAATTTGAACATACTGAAAAAGAGCTGGATCTGGTGTGAATAAGGAGATATGGACCGAACACAATCTCAAGAAACTCACATTTGCTTCATTGCTACAGCCAAGACTAGCTTTCAATGCAAACGCTACTAGTGGCCGTGTTTTCGGGCGGAGCTCCAACTTTACATATCCTGAAACCGTATTATCGTATTCATCTCCCTAAAGGGATCAAAGCTCCTCGTGTTTCAAGCCAAAAAACTTAATAATCATTCAACACTTGCCAGAGACACACCTCTTGTCTTCCTAGTGGTCGGATCTATGGAGCACATTGCTTTTTGAAGTTGCTTGAGCTCCACCCAATGAGGTGGATACTTGAACCTGGCCACGTCCATGATCAGAACGCGATCACTTTTCGCATGGAATGCACCAAGTGGAGAGAAGTGACCTTCAAACAATCGCATTCAGAGCATTCAATTAGAAGTTCTGCAATTAAAAGCATTTGTAAAAAAAAAGCAGGAAGTGCCATTACTCGGAATAGAAAACTTTTCAAACCATTTTGTGTTATCAAAATTTTAGCAAATTCATTAGAGGAAAATTGAATTTAGCAAGAAATATGTAGCATAAGAAATATACCAAACAATCATGCACAAATCATTTTTAGATGAGACGACGAAAAAAAGGAGTGCTTTTCCATTGGTGATCAAAACCTAATCCCTACACTCACTGATGAGCCTCATAGGTTTGATGGAAAAGAGTTGTTTGTGAGTCAGAGGCAAAACGAACCATGTTTTTGTTTAGGTTGATCCACTTTTTGTTCATTACACTATTTTCCATTTCTTGGTCAGTTCTTTTTTCACCACTCATCACCTCTACCTTCCATTTCAAACGGTGGCCAGTTCATTGTAGATTCATCGCACAATTTGCTTTTGATGCATGGCCACCAAAAAACACCACAAAGAAACGTTTTCTTACTCGCTCTTCCCACCAATTCTCAGCCTGTTCTCAATTTGAAACGACCTTTTTAGTTGATTAGGTTTTACTCCACATAATCTTCTCGAAAAGCATCGAACGCAAGCTATTCCTCATGTTACGAGAAATGCAGTGGTGTTGTCTCAAGTGAACCGCTGGGCGCATGACCCGGATCATAGCTCACCTAACCCAAACGAGCCCTTCGTGTTTTAGGGCTAGGGCAGCATCGAATTCCAGTGCCAGGGAGTGCCATGAAATGTGGGATCGGGACTTCTGCTTATCAGGGTTGACCTATTTTTTGATAGTTTTTTCTTGTTCTAATTTTTAGCCTGCTTTATAGACTTGAAGCTCACGAAGCGGTCTATTAAAGAGTCGAAGCATAAGTGCAAGCGAAAATGTGAAGCGAATCTCACCTGTGCCCGTTTGTTCCAATTGAGATCGATCGTAGCTTGCTACTATCACTCGTCTTTCTCCACGAACAGATTCCAATACATCCCGTCTCAGAACAGATAGAAAATCTGAATTTCTGAGATTACACATCTGGAAAGCGGTAGGAAGACGACGAATCCAGTAAGTAAAAGGTAAAGTGGCTCGTAGTATAATAGTTAGCCTTTGAAGTTTATCACACACTCAATTTTCATTCAGATTTACAGTCATTTTGATGCATGTCTTTAACACACAGCTCGGGGATGCAAGCTGACACTCTCCTATGCGAGAGCGTTAGCAAGTAGTGGTTCGAAGGGATGGAAGGTCTATAAATATAAATAGCTCCTGGTGATTTTGATACTCGGAATAAAACAACTTGGTTGGGCACGACACCGTGGGAGAACGAAGAAAACACCTCCAACGTCATCTGGAACACAGTGTTTGCCGTGGAACTATTGGGTTGTCCCACAATTCCTGTCCGATTTTTGATCAAATTCAAATTTCTTCAAGTCGAATTAGTGTCATTGCGAAATATGTTGGTATGTCAAAGAGTGCATCTAGACCGTTAGCCAGGACATTTTGGAAGGTCAAACCCGCATCGGAATAACTGAGTAGAAGTCGAAATAGATCAATAGCAATAACGAACGATTATGCTTTATGATCCTCAAATAGACGCTGTTGCAAGGAGGACACTAGAGAAGATCAGCGCTGTGTTTGGCTCAGTCTCTGCTACTGATCGGTCACTGAGCTAGAGTTCGGTCGCAATGGCAAAGACAATACGAGCTGTGAAAATCAGCCTCATCCTGGGCCTCCACTCACTTTCGATGAGGACCCCTTGCGCCATGGATTGGAAGTGCACACGGACGCTACTACCAGGGTATTGTAGCAGACACCTGGGCGCAGCCGATGCACCAGCACACGCCATCAGGATGAAGTGGGCGGCAGCAGAATGAAGACTTGATGGAAACCATATGCACCGACCAGCCATGACCGAGAAGCAGGTCTGACCCTCTGGGGGAATTTCATTCTGTGACCTCATTAGCAGAGCGTTCCCTAGTTGATCACTAGTGGGGATGAGTCATGAGTTCACTACGACAACAACACGCAGCACGCCTGATGGCTACCTCGCAGCCAGGGCTCACCAGCTCAACAAAAGCCCAAACTCCGTGTTCGGGGATATTGTTCTTTGTTATGATTAAGTGGGATGTGGGTCTTCCGCTTTAACACTTGTCCTATATGTGGACAAGTATTGTGAATGCCACCGATGGAACAGTCCCGAGAGGTTGGCCCGCAGTAGTGGGAGAAAACCGTGCTAAACGTCCCAAAATCCCCTTTCTCCGAATAGACGCTCGACCTCACATTGCAAAGATAACTCGCTACGTTCTGAGGGAAACTGGCTGGGACCACGATACCATGTCCATCGTATAGCCCTGGCATCACTCCATCGGGCTACCCCCTTCACAGTGCCTTGAGCCAGCAGCGGCGAGAGAAAAAAGTCACTAAATACAACCACTCCAAAAACGACCTTGCTGAATTCTTCAGCTCATAGCTTCACCCATTCTAGGAGGAAAGCATCCAAAGTTCCCTGGCGAATGGGATGCATATCGGTGATTATGATAATGGTTATATTTTTGATCAATTGGTTTTTGAGAAGATAAAACTCGATGAGATGAAGGTGTCGAAACTCGGAGAGGAATTATGGGCACCCCAATACTATAAGGACGGATTCGCAGTAGTCTTACCATGTCTAGGAGCTGGTATTACTTCACCCTTAGAAGTAGGACCAGAGACAAAAAAAAAAAAAAAAAAAAACCAAGCCTAAGTATGCACAACAGTTCCCAATAGCGCCAAGTCTCAGCGAGGCCAAAATGCGGTCAATTTCTAACAAGGAGATTTAACCCTTTGACTACTGGTGGGACACATGTGTCCCACTTCGTAGTCAAAGACACTACCACAGTTCCAGGGAATATTGAGGCAGGAGGGCTCATTTGATGGCTGAACTGTGCACATATAGAAGCTTTCTAATTCCTACTATGACAATTAGTCGTCAGAAGCTAAAGCGAGTCATCCTGCGTAAGTTAATCTTTGACTACTGGTGGTACACATGTGTCCCACTTCGTAGTCAAAGACACTACCACAGTTTTGGCACTTATTGAGATCGGAGGGTCCGCTTTATGGCGGAATTGTGCACAACTAGAAACTTGGTAATTCTTACTCTGTCAGCGAAGTATCAGAAGTCTAAGGCGAGTATGGCTGGATAAGTTGA